AACAGTATAAAAAATTGCAGAAATAGTTTAACTGCCATAAGAGAACAGGTTTGTAAATTGAGACCTGTGTAAACACAGCTTGTTTAAAGTAAATTCACTATCATCGTAAGTGCTTGAGTCTTTGTATGACTGCTTATCTAAAATCCAAGTATGTCAATTTCTACTCTGACAATATGAATTTGTATAAAAACAATACCACCAAGACTGAGAAGGAAAATAAAAAGTTTCGCACAAACGCTGAACTGGAAATTATGCAGAAATATTATGAAATTTTTCTGGTGTGGAATAATGGAAGATCGAACTCAATTATAGACTTGGCCTAATGAATGGTGAGTAAATACGTCTAGGGTTGGACATGGTTAGAACCAAACCGGAGCCAAAATTTTTAGGTATTTAGTAAGTGAAACTGTTGGGTCCAAATTTAATTATGGAACTGCTTGTTTTCGGTTCCATTTGATTTTCAAGTTCTGTACTATAATTAAATTTTTTAATATTTACAAAGTTATATTAATTCTACAAATGACATGTAAAATTTAACTCTTACAAAATAATACAGTCCAATCTTATGTATTTTTTGAGTCTTTCTTTACTGAATTTTTCATAGTTTTGTTTGTTAAAATCACATGAATAGGAAGATAGTAAGCTCACAATAATTAAGAGAGGCATCATTGAGCTTTAATTCAATCTTTCCAGAAAAGTAGAAACGACGCTACGGTAGAATAATAGATTTGGATAAAACTTAGGTCAATTTAATTGAGTTGGACTTGGACTGAAAATTAGAAATAGGAAAATTATATTTTTGGGTTTGAGTTAAATTAACTAATTAGTAAATTTATTTAGAAAAATAAAATAAATGGATTATTTAAAATAAATAAATTAAAAAAATTAGGAAGATTCAATTCTTGATTTAGAACCAACAACCGAACTGAACCCGTCTATTCTCGATTTAGATATTCATTTGGATATTTAACTTAAGAAGAACTGCTCGATTCGGATTCGATTCGATTCAATTCGGTTCGAGAATTTTGTCCAACCCTAAATATGTCCATAAACATGCCATTACTATATTGGCATTACAATAATTCCAGAAGCTAAAAAGTTAATTGGAGAAAGCAAAAGGGGCCAATTTTAGCTCAGTTTGTCTGAAATTCGTGTATGCAAGTCGTTTCCACACACAAGTTTAAGGCTCGTTGTACAATTTGTATTCTTGATTTGCATTCCACTATGTGCGTATGTAGAGAGAGCCCCTATGCTGCACATGATTACACCCTTTTAAATTCCAACCAAATATAAAGTAGTCATTGCTTTCATAAAATTCGCATGTGGCAGAAATCGAAATAAAGTTTCACTCCAACATAAGTCATCTTCCAATTGTCCACTTTAAACTCTAATTTCTCATTCACCCGTTTATTATTTTTGACAAGTAAATATATGATTTTACTGTTTTCATGAAGAAGAACACGAATTAATTTTGATCTTCTAAATTCAACCAATGTGTCCCTCCTAAAATTGTGCCAAAATAGCTCAACAAAGCCATTTTTTCCAACGTGGTGTATGATCGTGCATCCAATTTTGAAGTCTAATAACGAGCTAGGAAGTTTAGGGCCCATTTAGATAGACTTGGGTATTCGCACGACTCTTTTGATTAAGGAAAAATTGGACCCACTTTCCTCAAAATATAAAATATAAAATTAATACATTTAAAACTAATTAGAAGTGTAAATTCCCATATTAATACTTCCTAAACCCTCGAAAGCCCAAAATTTGTCACTTTTTGGGATTTTGTCACTTTTTAAATACTTTTAACCTTTTTTTAAAAAATTAAAAAATAAATTTGTCACCTTTCATTAATAGTCTTTCTTTTTTCTTTTTGCAAGATTGAGAGTTAATCATACCACATGAATATTTATTGGTTTAAAGGGATATGATACATCACTTTTTTATGAAAAAAATTATATGATACCTAACTTAGTCTTTTTAATAGTGTCAAAACTTAGTTTCTTAAAGAAAATTACTTGATATAACAAAAAAATAAAAATAAAATGACATTTACATTTTAATAAAGGTTGTTTTATGTGCATTCTATTGAGACAATCATTTCAGTCATTTTGTCTCTTTTATATTTGTTATCTTGTTCTCATTTACCTCCATGACAATGAAGACGTTAATTTTATTTGTAACTACCAAAAAAAAAAAAAAAATACAAATGAAATAGTGTGACTTTTTATTTTTATTTTTATTTTTTTTTAAAATGAGAGTATATCACTTTTAAATTCCACCGCATTAATTCATATGCAAAAAAAAAAAATGAAGTGTTATATCAAGTCACAATTTTAATGTAAAACAATGGTGAATTCGCATTTATATTTAAATTTTCAAAAACAAACATGTATGCATCTATTTAGTTGTTCTAAAGGAATTTGAACGAGATAGACTGTGACCGTTTTAGATAAAAGTGACAGATCTCTAACTCTCATTTTTACATGCACTTTCTATGCATCACTTGAATTGATCCAAAATTTATTTTTCATAAATATTAATTCAATCCAATTCATTACATCATGTCACTTGTTTAATGTAGATCAAAGTTTGAATTTGTATCCATGTTTAAATTTTCAAAAATACACACGAAATATCTATTTAATTGCTCCTAAGGAATTTAACCGAGATATATTGTGACATTTTCTAAGAAAAGTGACATCAAGTTCTTATTTTTAAAAAAAGTTGAACCCCAATCTTGAGGGCCTCCACCACCCCACTTCCGAAGTATCGTGAGGGAGATAAATTGTTGAATGTGCCCCAACAGGTCAGAGAACAAGGGCTTACCTATATATTGATGCCCACAAAGAGTCCAATTCCATATTTCAGGAATCGAATATTCACACTGCGGTTGCCAACAAGGCTGTGACTACCTCACTTCCATCATTTGCACCACTAGATTATGCCTCGGAAGGCTTCACATTCTCATTTTTATAAACACCTTGCATGTCACTTAAAGTAATAAGCATGCTTTGTGTTTGATTTTGAATTCAATGAGGGCAAAGTTGAGCCTAATCTTGATATACCCGTATTTGATGTCAAAAATGCTTTGTGTACAAATTATAAGCATTTTGTTGTTTTATTTTGTAGATGAGTTGGATTTCTGGTTCAATTTGTTACATTTATGTAGAGGGTATCACCTTGTCTTGAAGCCATCTTTATATTGTCGAATTTTGATTGCAACCACTTCACAATGATTATGCTGTGTCCTTGTTTGGCTCCATTAATTTGATGATACATTTTTCTCTCTTTTTTCCAACCACACATTTTTTAATAAAATAATATTATACGTAAATTCAAATTTTTTTTAAACTACACATTCTTCAAAAAATTACTATTACAAAATATATATTTCTAAAAAATCTAATTATAACGAAGCTCAAATAGGGACTATGGGCTTGTTTGAGCCACATTATAGAGAAAAAATGCATTATTGATGTCAAATTAATGAAATATATGTGGTTAAAAATAAGGCAAAATTTTAGATTTGCGTGTAATATTATTTTATTGAAGAATGTGTAATTGAAATGATGTCAAATTATTATTGAAAAATATACTTTTTTTGAAAATAATGTGGCTCAAACATGGGCTATATGTACAAATTGAGCATCATACCCTGTGATATGATATGATAGGTGATGTGAGATGGGATGATAATATTAATTAAGCCCCCGATAGGCACCCATTTTTCAATAAAAAAAAATTAGGTAGCGATTGGTTTCCATTTTCATTTTCAAAACGATTTTTAGTTTTACCCAAAAAGGTCCGTTTTCCGCGTTTTGAAAGTTTTAACAATTTATAATTAAAAACGCTCAAAATGATAAAAAGTCGTTTTACGTTTTCAGCGATAAATTTTAACTCGTTTTTGAAAATGCGTTTTCAAAAACGACGGATCAAACGCGTTTTCTACGTTTTCGAAAACAGAAAACGAAAAATGGCTTGAAAACGGCAAATCAACCACACCCTTAATTTTTTTAACATTATTTTACTATTCCGACCACTATTTTTGATTTTGTCACTCATATATAAAACTTATTTTTCTCTTTAGTAATAAAAAAATTAATTTTGATAATCACTATTGAACATGTCTTAAATGTATTAATATGAAATCTTTGTTACTCATTATCTAACGTCATCTGACACGAGAATTATTTCCAATTGACCTCTATTATTAACTCTCTATAATAAATAGACTATTTTGTACTTCATGTGTGAGCACATCACATTCACATGGGATGTTGAAAAGGAGACAAATTAAATGTACACAAATAGTCAAACACGTGTCACACAACATTCTTCCGTCCATAGAATGATAGATGTTGTTTAATCACGTTCCTTGTACAATTTATTTTATAAATTAGTTTATAATGCACGAATTGGCAAATATTATATTCATTTATTTGAAAAATTGGTTTTTAAAAAGAATAATCAAGATTTTTTCAACATACTTGTTATCAGTCAAGTTATGTATAGATATTGTACAAGTGACTTTATTCAAAATCGATGGGACACTTCCCAGTAAAATTTCATAGTCAAATGTGAAGTCCAATGACTTGACATCTCAACATCTCGTGTGACAAAATTCTTGCAATTTGTTGGAAACAAGAAGCCATAAAATCAAATGAATCACCCTTGTTGGGAATTGGGAACTAAAATAAAGACAAAATATATTTTTGCTTTCCAATTAATATCCAAACTCCCAAGTCGAAGCACGATTTGATTGGGGCCACTCAAGAGATTTAATGCCACCAAATCCAAAATACGGAAAATTCATCGAATATGAAACATATGAGCAAATCCCAAAAAGCAAAAAGTAGCACCAACTAGTTTTCATTAAAGAACTTTTTTTTTTTTTTTTTT